GAGCCAATAAAACAGTTTTAAAGGATTTATTTTTCTCCTCAGAAGGACAAAAGCTGAAAATAATTTTTTAAGACAATTTTAATACAAAAACTGTTAAGACGTTTCATTAACACCTTATCTGCTTTAATATCTTCTTGTTCTGACAGCCAGTGATTTGGAGGGCAAAAATTTCTCCTCGTGTCTCTGGACTTCAACATTTTCACTAGATTGGTGATAACCTGAAGAGAAAGAACAGGTCTGTGTCAGCCACACAAGGTCAGTGACAACAACTGTGCCGAGCCCAGCGCTGGTCAGAGCAGCACAGGGACACAGGAGTCATGTCAGGCCATGAGCTACCAAACCAGTCACAGAAGATGTTGTTTCCTGCCATTGTTAAGAATCTGTACAAAGCAATTATCTGCAGAGAAGTAAGTATACAACACATACACACGAGAATTTTTTTTAATTACAAGGGAAACGGTGAATAAGTTCTGAAACACAAATTTGGAAATGGATTAGCTTAGCTCATTTGAGCTACAACTAAAAACATTTCCATGTAGTGCAATTTTGTAAAACTTTCATAAGTTAAAATAGCATGTGTTATTTTTTTGAGAAACACTGTACGAAGGGCACCGGAGGAACAGTTGTCATTGTCACACCTTCACAAAACACCCCCCAGAGCAATTCAGTATTTCCCTCCACTAAGTCTCTGGGGTTAAGTCTACTTCCCACCTCATGCACAAAAATGTAGTCTGAGCTCCTTGGTGAATCTTCCCCAAACGGTCTGGCTGACAGAAATTTAACACATTATCATAGCTTAGTTTTTTATATTTATTTTTTTCCAAATGAGCAATAGTTCGGGCAGCGCCTGTGGCTCAAAGGAGTAGGGCACTGGCCCCATATACCGGAGGTGGCAGGTTCAAACTTGGTCCTGGCCAAAAACTGCAAAAAAAAATAAACCCAAACAAACAAACAAACAAAAAAAAGAGCAACATTTTCTCCTGGCTCCTTCAAACAGAATCTAACTAATTATCAGGGAACCTAGTAGGTACTTAGTGATTGACTGGGGATCAATATTACCTGCAAATTTTCTAATATAAAGAAATTTAGGCTCGACGCCTGTGGCTCAAGTGGCTAAGGCGCCAGCCACATACACCTAAGGTGGCGGGTTCGAATCCAGCCTGGGCGCGCCAAACAACAATGATGGCTGCAACTGAAAAAAAAATAGCC